CTCTCTCTCTCTCTCTCTCACAGTAAGAGCACTCGCTTTCGGGATGGTGAACACCAATATCGTAGAATAGAGATGGTGGTTCTCTCTACGATCGCACACTAGAAGTTTCGGAATCACCACGTATGCCAACGCTGCCCACTCCCATCTCCACCTTCCTTCCTTCCATCTCCCGCCTTAGCGGCTATGACGTGACCTTCGCCTGTTACCGCCCCGGTCGTGCGCCTTCGTCCTCCTCCCGCCGCAGCTCCAGCAATCGGCGGCCAACTTCGCGCATCCTCGGCGCAGGCCGCTGTGCTGCGTGCGCTAAGCGAGCGCTCCAACAAATATAGATGATTGAGTTCTCCTAGATTCTAATTTGTGATGTGTCAACATACTTCTCAGTTTCCTTCCCTACTAGACTTCCTCCTCCTTAGAAATATTTTCCAACAGCGGCTCTGTGCTTCCTTCCTTCACCTTTGTCATGCATCCTCACAACCTCCCTTGTCTCTGAGGCTTGACTTTCTCAGTTATAATCTTTTTTCCTTCGCTACTAGACTTCCTCCTTCTTAGAAATCCTTCCAACAACGGCTCCGTGCTTCCTTCCTTCACCTTTCAAATATTTCGATCCTCCCGGGTTCTGCCTGCACTCCTCACAGTCTCCCTCTTCTGAGTCTACCCAAACGGTGAGCCCCCCCTTGTTTCTCCAATGTGTTTTCACCCGCCAGGATGATGCAAGTACAGAGGAGGATGGTTTGGGGGAAAGAAATGAACACCGTCGGAAGCGAGGGGGGTAGCCAAGCAAGAGGGTGTGTGAGGAGGGGAGAGAATGGGGGGAGATCACAGTAGGAGTCGGTGAGGGGGGAGGGAATAAGCACGGGGAGACCACGGGGGGAACGACTTTAAGTCCGACGCGGGAAAGGATAGTATAACAAAGGGAAGCCGAGAGAAGCCGAGAGAAGCCGAGAGAACGGAGAGCACAGTGGGATAGAAGGGAAGGGGAAGAAGTAGGAGTCGGGGAAAACAAGGGGGGAGCAGAAGGACAACGCGGGGAAAAACAACAGAGAAACAATGGAACTCAATTGAAGAAGATGACATGAGTTTTACTATCATGGTGAAATCAACTTCTCCACAGCAACACCCTGAACTTACACCGCCAGGGTTCTCAACCCTTCTACTCATCAGCCACTAAGATTGAGGTAAGAAACTTACTACGTCAACCACTTCTTATATCCCCTTATCTCCCCCGAGTCTCGGTTGAGTTCCGAAACCTCACCCAAATAATAATAGTAATAATAATAATAATAATAATAATAATAATAATAATGTTTTCTGTTCTGGCAGCCGGAGAACAGGATATCGACTAAATTCATCATTTCACCACGCTCTCTCGTAGCAAATATTCGCCAGGTTCTTTCACACGCAGTCCGGGCTGTGGGATGCTCCCAGATGCTGCTCGGTAATTCCTGCCTTTTACTGCTTATGCCCGCCAGACAACAGCCACGATTCGTCAATTCTGTATATTTCTAGAAGGTCTGGCGAACTTGTTCTTTAGCTCATTGTATGTACTTAGTCTTGATTGGCACTAGGTGCAGTGCCTTCCAAACACCAACTCTCACTGCTTTCCCGGTATGGCTTCGGGTGCAGTACCTTCGAGTATCCCCAGATTTGCCAGGTAAATCCCCAGCACGGGAACAAAATCCCTCACTGCACTTCCCGATATGACTCGGCACCGAACACCAACAAATTTAAGCATGCCACCCCACTGACCGCGCCGTTACTTTTTGCGCAGGACCAGTTTCCCTTTTTAACTGAATTGGGTCGCAAAGGGGCCCTTAAGTCCATTAACATAAGAAATGCCCAATGCGTACTGCGTCCAACATGCCTTGCCAGAAGCTTGAGTTGGTCCTTCGCTGCATCCATTGCAGCCCTGCGATAACCGCTTTTCCAGGGTAGCTGCTTTTCCTGAGTTCCTCACACAGTGTGAGGATGTTACTGCATGCAAGCCCGTCTGAATTCGAGTTCTGCGAAATGCGCAGAATCGTATTGGCGATAATGGCGAATTTGCCAGCCCGAGGCCCATATGAAGAGAAGTCCTTGTACGTCCGGAATTCAAGTGGGGTGCTGCCCCAGATTGTCCCTGCATTCTTAAACTTGTGGGACATCAGCAGTTCCTTATTCCTGCACACCAGCAGTCTGGTTTCAAGAAAATCCAACACGCCGGTCCCAGGGTCTGTTCGTTCAAGTACCAGTCCTTCAGGATAGCAGTGCGTGACCGTATCAAGCAGCTGCTTGATCCGCAGCCGCTCGTCTTTCCGAAATAATGCAATGGTTAGCAGATCATCAATATACCGCTTTCCCATAACTATTTTCTGATCCGCCCCTTGACTTCAAAAACAGGTTTTCAACAAACATGCACATCACGCATGCTAAGGGTGGGCTTGCTCTGCCTCCCATGGGGATTCCTTTCCTCTGTCGGAGCACTACATCGGATACACAGAAGTAGGAGTTATTCAGTTGGAATTCAGTCATCCTGACTAAAGTCTTTGAACGAATTGATTTCCAACCCATTTCCCCGTAAGATTTACCGAACCGAGCTTCTTTTTTCAGAGGGTTTACCGTGATCCATTTGATTGATTTAGCAGAGAACCAGTCCACTATCCACGCTACTGCTTTTAGAATCTCACCATGTGGAAGCCGCGTGAACATTTCCTTGATATCGTACGTACGTACACAAATACTGAGATTTCCATTCACAACTTCGGGTCGTTTGTTAATCGACTCAATCTCCTTTTTCAACAACACCATGAAACTCAGGTTGAAATGTGGTTCCTTTATTCTTCTTATCAGATCATTAAGGGCAGTGGACAAGCAACATGACACCTGTCTCTTATACACATCTAGATGTGTATAAGAGACAGGTACGTACACAAATACTGAGATTTCCATTCACAACTTCGGGTCGTTTGTTAATCGACTCAATCTCCTTTTTCAACAACACCATGAAACTCAGGTTGAAATGTGGTTCCTTTATTCTTCTTATCAGATCATTAAGGGCAGTGGACAAGCAACATGACACTACCCTGAATGGACTGAGATAGGATGGAACAATAGGTCGCTTTTCGCTTTTATTTTTTTCTTTAGAAAGGATGTATGCATGTTGCAAATCACCGATGCCATCCCACCTCCCAATTTGGTGAAGCCCTGCGCTCTTATATTTATTCTCCATCCCAAGTAGAATTTCTTGTTTTGGAGTTGTCAGGGCTTCGTAATTTTCATTCAGAAGAAACATCTTCTTAAGGCCAGCCTCAAACAATGTGGGGCATTCAAGCCAAGTCTCACTTGTGTTCCGATCCAAGTGAGATTTGACCAGGCCATCCAGTGCTTGTTGCACCCTTTTTACATATTCACTCAGTACACACCCTTCCTGCATCTTTTCCCCTGGTCGCGACACCTGCTGGTAATCAATGCGTATCTGTGAGCTAACCAGGCCCATTGCTCGCAGTCCCGTAAGGGCATCATTGCAAGCAACATCAATCGTGTTTCGATTAACCATCGACCCAGGAAAGGGGACATTCTTAGCATTAAACAAAAACAGATGTACACCCGCCACCTCACTGAGTTTAACCGCTACATGCCCGTTCGTTTTGGGCAAGTCAACGTCTGCACAGACACAGCTAAAGCTGGATTGTTGTGCGTACGACTTGTGGTTATGCAACAGATCCCCGACAGATTTGGCTTTGAGCCAGACAGTCTTGGTTCTTTTTGCATACAAGTTACCCATTGATTGCGGTCGGATGTTATCCGAAATCCACACTTTAACTTCGTTATCAACCTTCCTCTTGTCAATCGTGGTACAAAATGGTAATTTAACAGTCACCTTTGCCCGATGATTAATTCCGAACTTCTTCTTAAACACGTTTCTGAGAACACTGCGAATGATTTGCCTGCCATGCTTCTGATTAACGGTTTTTACAGCGCTGTTTAATTCAATTAATTCATTTAGATCCCGTTTATACAAATCTCGATGTTTTCAAGGCGCTCTAAGGAGTGCAATGAGTTCATGTTTCAACAAGTCGGTTTTTGTTTTTGTTCGGATTATATCAATAATTCGCATCTCACCGCTTTGCTCAATGGTTTTCCTGGCATCTTTCAAAAGCATTCGCACACCACCGATCTCAACTTTGGAAAACCCAAAGAGTAATGCCACTAACCGCCATGCCTTAAGCCATCTTACCCCAAAGTTATTTGTGATTACAATTCCTTGTTTGATTCTTCGTTTTTTAATCATCTTAAAAAATATTAGCAGATCTCGTTCGTGATTAACATCAAGCGCAGGACAATCGAAAAATAGGGGTTCAGAAACAAAGGGCATGAGGCATCGGTCCGGTGGCTTCTTTTTTCCCCGAGCTCTTCGTGCTTTCTCCCCATGTTTAGTAGTATAGTACCACGCGCATTCAAACCGGGGTTGCAGTCGCTAATCATTGTTTGCTTAGAGGAATCAATTGCCATTCCGCTTCCAAACCAAATCGGTATCGGTACGTAGTGCTCAATACCGACCTTTCGCAGCCACACATGAACTTTCTGCTTACTATTGCCCTTTGTGGCTCTACAATGTTCAAGCCATCGTTCCCGTAGTGACCTGGTAGTCTTTCCTACGTACACGGCCTTATGCAGTAGCGACATGAGCACACACACGCACTCCCGCCCATTAAGAAGCTATTCCCATTCACTACTAGGCAGTCTAAACCAAAACCGCAAATACGTCCTCCCCCACGCAATCTCATTGAGGAGGCAGGCTAGTAGGATGGTCAAGACATGAATTCGATCTAGGAGAACTCGTAACGCTCCCTCAACCTCGAGCTTCAATCTAGTGATTCTATTTGTAGCCCGGCGCAATGCCCGATGTGAACCCCACTTCAGTTTCCCTTTACCGAGTTATCCAGGTCGGGGTCTTTGTCAGCGGTTCCATTGGAGCGGGACGTGGTTGGTCGAGATGATTCGGCTCCGCGCGCCGGCTTCTCCTCCTTCAGCAAGTTGGCATATTCCTGCAGGTCCAGCCTTGCAAGCTCCCAAGCGCCTGCGTCCTTCCGGAAGTACTGTATATTCTTCTGCTTACAAAGCTCTTGCACACGGGTGTAGTGCAAGGAGCTGTAGAACTCTTGACGCAGCTTCATGTATGCGGCCAACCCTCCTTCATCATCTTCATCTTCCTCGTCATTGGGTTCATTCTGAGCTATATCGACGTCATCATGCCCCTCTGATTTCGGACTCGCTTCTTCTTTAACCGGCTTCGGTAGTATGACCGGTGCCTTTCCTTTGGCATCACTGATCCCTTGTAGGAGGGCAACTAACATTAGCTTGATATCCGCCAGTTCGTTGCTCGATTCCATCCTTGGCTGCAAATTCTGCTTCACCGTGCCACCCTCTCTTCGTCGGATGATACCACGATCCTTTTCGAGCATGACTTGGTCTTGTTGCCTGCACTTGTGCGGGACTTCACTCGGTTCAGGTGAGGTGAGTTGGCGACTGGGGCGCATTCCCCCCCTCTCTTCCTCTTTTCGTTGCTTGCCGGGTCTTTACCTTCTTTCTCTAGCTGAGCTTTTGCCTCCCGCAGCTTGCTGAGTTCTTCTTTCTCAGCTAGCGCCAACTTGGCTTTTTGATCGACCTCCTTAGTTTCAACGAATCACCTAGTGTTGCCATCACCCAAGCTTTCATTTCCTCACTCCTATCAGCGGAGCGCGCCTTGTCCGCAGAGCGCACTTCCGATCTGCTGCCTTCATCAGGCGAATCCTGATTTTGCAAGCCGCCACGCCGCCCACTGGCAATCTTCTTCCGAGCTTCTTCCACCGCTTTGCTCATCTTGATATCCTCCAGAATATCCATATACTCCTTCGTAAAATATGCCCGATTCCCCAGCCCCGGGAAAGCGTTCGCAGCTGGGCCCTTCCCAGTGTCGTGACCATTCCCAGGGTTGTGAGGAACGACTGCTTGTTGATTCAGGGGTTGAACTTGATTACTATGTTGCTGATTACTTGCAGGTGGCGGAATAGGGGGCTGTCCCACCCACTGCCCATTCACCGGCCACTGACTCGCGTTCTGCCAAGGAGGCATCATCCAGGGGTTCACCACCGGGGCAACCGTCTGGTACTGCGCTGGCGCAGGAGGCGCCATACTTGACCCCGTAGTCTGCCCAATAACGGGCATCACAGGAGGAGGAGCATGGAATGTCGAGGGGAACTGAGTTGGGTTCACCCCCGGCGGGTAGACGTTAGTCGCGGGGTTGCCACCGCTGTACTGGACTGAATTCGCCGCTGTTTGCCCACCTGGGTTCGCGTTATTACCCTCCATCCAGTAGCGTCTGCAGTTGGACCAGCGGCCCCGTCGCCCGCTTGCTTTCCCTCTCCCGCGTCCGGACATACGATAGAGCGTTATTCCGATAACAACGCTGCACCCAAAGCTACAACCGAAAATCCAGCTCCCTTCAGTTTTGCCAGTGAGTCGGAGTTCACTCCACCTTCCCCAAAATAGCATGCCCTGCAACTAACAATCTCCTCTCGACCGGTATGCCACGTGGCCTCGCAGCGCGCAGGAGTGGTCTTCGGACGTCGTCCGGCAGCGTCCCTGCCTCGTCGGTGACTAGCACGGGCACCCCCGGCGCAGCATCGAACGCTTGACCAGATCACCGATCCAAGCGAGATCCGTGACAGCAACCTGTCCTTCTCCGACAGATAGGAGAGGCAATCCGTCGTACCCAAAGAGTCGAGGATATCAACATATTCACACCGATCTCAACAACTAGACGCAGGTCCACAGAATTCTTAGGAAATTAATGCCAAACCCGCGGGAAACAAGCGATTATAAATCGAGAACTCGGAATTCCGAGTACTACTAACAATTATAATGCTAAGCACGGCTCCAAAATCCGCGCTTCTCAACAAATGAAATGCTTTCACAAAATAGAACACAAAGATCAAACAAAGATCATAACAAAGATCATAGCAAAGATCAAAGGACCATAACAAACATATGAACAAATGATAAGCACAACTTCCACCTTGCGACACCTCCACCGAGTATAAACTCGTGAAGAAACACGAAGAGAAGCCGGCGCCCTAGGCTCGTTCCCAAGCCACGGCAAGGTCGAATCTAGGGTTCTAGACCATCAGAAAAACAATGGAACTCAATTGAAGAAGATGACATGAGTTTTACTATCATGGCGAAATCAACTTCTCCACAACAACACCCTGAACTTACACCGCCAGGGTTCTCAACCCTTCTACTCATCCGCCACTCAGATTGAGGTAAGAAACTTACTACGTCAACCACTGCTTATATCCCCTAATCTCCCCCGACTCTCGGCTAAGTTCCGAAACCTCACCCAAATAATAATAATAATAATAATAATAATAATAATAATAATAATAATAATAATAATAATAATGTTTCCTGTTCTGGCAGCCGGAGAACAGGATATCGACTCAATTCATCATAACGTCGTGATCGATAGAGGGAAAGCGAGAGAGAGGAGAAGAGAGAGGAGAAAGGAAGGAGCACAAAGGAAGCATGAGGAAAGCGTAAGGGTGTGATCGATAGGGGCCAACCAAAAGAGGGGGGAGAGCAGTAAGGAACAGAGACCGAGGGGGGAGGACTGGGAAAGCACGAGGACATGGTCATGTTCAACTGATCATGGTCAACCCCAGGAGGATACATGGAAGATAATAGGAGACACGGGATCGTCGAACGCGGGAGGAGGATACAGCGGAGAACGGATAGAGGGGGGAGGGGGGAGGATTAAACGGTGATCACGGGTTGAGAGGAAGTCGAAAAAAAGTAGATGTCGGGGAAACCGAGGGACGTGCGAGGAAGCACAAGGATGTGATCGATAGGGGGGAGCCGAAGAGGGGAGAGAGCGGTAGAAAACAGACACCGAGGGGGAAGGATAAGGAAAACACGAGAAAATAGTCGTGTTCGACTGATCGTGATCAGCACAAGGAATATACAAGGGAAGCAGGATCAGGGGAATCGAGAAACCGAGAGAGGCGCAAGAAAGCACAAGGGTGTGATCGATAGGGGGGAAGCGAAAAAGGGGGGAGAGAGCGATAGAGAACGGTGACTGAGGAGGGAGGACAGGGTAAACACGAACACAACTGATCGCGATCAGCACAAGGAATATACAAGGGAAACAAGAGCGTTGAACGCGGGAGGAGGGTGCAGAGGAGGGCGGCTAGGGGAGGGGGATGAAGATTAAACGAAGTTAACCAGTGGTGATATCGGGTTCTCAAGTTCCAACTTACACTGCTTTGCGCCGCTCTCTATCCGACCGTTTTCCAAGAAGCGATGCTTGAAAGACCAAAACATGTCTGACTTGCCTTCCCCAGCGCACCAGTTTCCCAGCGCAGAGCCCCAAGGGAAAGCAAGCGATGGTTGTCGTCCCGTTGCGTGCGATATGGCCGAGATTGTTGGTACCAACTTCCGTCTTCTGTGAAGGAATGTCCCGCTGCCGCTGTCGCTGTACGTTGCTGCCGCCTAACCGAGAGGCGAGGGGCGAGGCGTACGATTCTGGATGATATGTTTTCCATCGGATTCTGTGTTACGATGATGGGGTTCATAAGTTGTCACATTATCCTCTCAAGGGAAGCTGGGTAACGGCTTCTGTATTTTCAAAAGTATCATCCACGGCGAAGTAGGCTAGATTCAAATTCGTTCTCGGTTTTGGAACTGCATGGATGTGTGTGTGTAATTCAAATTCATTCACGATTTTGGAACTGCGTAGATGTCGGGGGGGGGGGGGAGAGAGAGAGAGATACTCTAAGTCTCTAGAGTCTCTCTCTCTCTCTCTTTCTCTCTCTCTCTCTCTCTCTCTCTCTCTCTCTCTCTCTCTCTCTCCTCCGCTGCTCTTTTTATCTTTTTTCTCTTTTTCTTTTTAATATGAGATATTAAACTGATCAGAACAGATACTACACTTGATCTTAGCCAAAAATCCGAGAAAGGTGGGGCGGGAGGGACGAAGCGGGACATCGGTGCCATAACGCTCTGCTCCCGTGATGCACGTGCATTAGGGTTTCACTCAGTAGAGAGCAGAGTTCACACGCCATATCCCAGGGTGCTCAGCACGGGAAAGACATGTAACATAGCTGTCGAGTTTCAACGTGAACTCGAGCTCTTCGTGATGAGGGCTTGTCCCAGGAATGGCGGAGGTGAGGTGGGGATGTATCGGGTCATGGTAAACCATACTGTGCAAGACATAGCGGAATCTTTGATCACTTTCGAACACTCTGAACTGAAGGACGCTGCATTGGCGACGGGCTTCCTGCGGAAAATGCTGATGTATCTAGATCTTGTTGGAGGCTAGTTTCACTACAACAGGGGAAAGGAGGGTAGGCGCATAGCCGCATCTCTCATTTTTTACCGTTCTTACTACTAAGTGTCGCAAGGCTGGAAGAGGATTCTCTGGAGAAGAGACACTTGCCAACTGAAGAGGGAAGACTGGAGGCGAGCTGCATGTTTATTTTTTATTTTTTTGAAGAAACTCCCGACCTAGAGCTAGGGGTGCTGGTAAGAGCAGACACCACTAGCACCGCCGAAGAGGCTTCATCTATTGGTTGGGAGCGACACCTGCTGGAAATCGGGTCCAGCGTCCCACAACATTGAAAATTATATTTGTTTGTGTGATCAGAATCAGTATTTGTAATGACCGCAAGTTACCCAGGCTACCCAGGCTCACCTTCTAAAATTGAAATTCAGACTACTCAGGCTCACCTCCTAAATGATCTTGGCGGGCAGCACGGCCGGGAGCGTTGCGCCCCGCCCGCGCAGTTAGACCGAGCGGCGCCGAGCGGTGACATGCGGCGGAGCAGCGTGAAGTCGTATCAAACGGCTCTGGACGGCAACAAGCGGCGGTGCGGTGCGGTGTCGGGGGGAGTGGATTCGGGGTGGTGTGAGGTGGTGGTTAAGAGGTTTTGGGTGAATGGATGATGATGGAAGGATGGCGATAAGGGTGATGCATCGTGCGTAGAGGATGAGGCTACTACGAAGAGGCTGCTTGTGAAGGGCTGTGAAGAGTATGGGCTGCCAGCATCATCATTTGAGCTATGAATGGCGGGGTGTCACGTGTTCAATGAAAAAGTCAGGTGATGAAGGGCAACGGAGGGCATGGAAGGTTTGTTCCCCCCTGGACTACTAGTGAGAGGTCACCGACAGGTTCGGTGATTTTGTCTTGCTACATGGCAAGTGAGACGTAAAGTGAAACCACGGTCCCTTAGTCCTTATTGCTCAGTCTTTTTTGATGGTCGAGAGAGTGGCCATGTGATGGTTGAGTTACCTTCGAGCGGATAAGGGAGGGGTTGAAGGTTTGGGGGAGACAGACACATCAGAGGTCGGTTTATATGTTTTGATCCATAGTTTTGCTCTTCGTGGCTTAAGTGACCTCCATTTTCTTCGTTTTGATCTCGTTTTTTTTGTGGTAGTTTCAAGATAGTAACTCGATTTCGATTTTCAGATGATTGTAAATCCGAGCTTTTGATTCTAATCTTTGGTTTTCGAATTTAATTTTTTGGATTTTTCTATTTGATTTTTTCATGACAGGTAGCTTTTAGGTTTTTCAATTCTAATTTGATTCAAGACAGCGGACTCATGAATGAATTCAAAATTTTTCGAATAATTCTCGATTTGATCCTATCATGTTGATGACCGTAAATCAGAGTTTCGCCTCTGATCTCGAATAATGTTTTTTAATTTTTTAGATTCTCAATAAACTCGTAAAGAATAATCCACAAACCTGATTCAAGACAGTGGGATCATGAATGATCTAAGACAGTGGGATCATGAATGATCTCCAAAATTTCTGAATAACTTTCGATTTGTTCTTTTCATATTGACGATCGTAAATCGGAGCCTCGTCTCTAATCTTGAATAGTGATCTCTAACTTTTTAGAACTTCAATGGTTTCGTGAATTTGTTCAATCTTGTTTTTCCTAAACTTTCGACTCGCTTGAGAACGGTATTGTAGTGTTTTGTTGTTGCACTGGTCGTTGTGATACACTCCTGTTTGAGAGGGGTTAGTAGTGGGAGGGAGGTGACGCGTCCTGCTGGCGAGGGGGTTAGTCGATAGGACTGAAGTAGGGCATAGCAGCAACGGAGATGGTGGCTCCGTTGTGATAAGTCTTGTCGAAGGGGGGTCAGGGGGGGTGTTCAGGTGGTTTGGGGGTGTTGAGCACGACCAGTGCATGGAGGAAGTCGGGCATTTTGAGGCCTAAGTTGCCGCGGTGTCGGACAGCGGCGCGCCGCGTCAACATATAGTTGACTCGTCGTGGCCAGCCTCCGCACCATAGGACTGCATATGGTCACGATCAGCAGAATGTTGACACGCTGGTTTGGCCCTTGGGTCGATTTAGCGGACAAGACGGCGCAACGGTCCAGCCCCATGGAGATCGAATCACGGCTTTTGGGCGGAACCGTCGCGTCTACAAGGGCCAGATTAGTAGGGCCCAGTCCAAACGGTACTGAAAACAGACCAGGGGTTAGTGAGAAAAATAGAATTGACCACTTGGGACCGGACTTACCGCGTCAGGGAGAGTACGGCCCGAGATGGTCAAGGGGGAATACGGGATTGGGCCCCTTATTAACGATAAGAGGGGTGTTTTGTTTTCGAGAGCAAGGTCGACCCTTAGTATTCCAAAGTCGGGCCAGTTTTAGCCCGACACTAATTTTAGAACCAGTCTATGTTATTTCTAGCATAGGGCACGCTATTTTTAGCGCAGGCCTGAGATATTTTTAGCGCAGGCCTGAGTTATTTTTAGCGCAGGCCTGAATTATTTTTAGCGCAGGCTAAATATAACACAGGCCCACGCTATTTTTATCCCAGTCCCGCGCTAATTTTAGCGCAGCCCCGCGCTAATTTTAGCACAGGCCCACGCTATATTTAGCGCAGGCCCGTGCTATTTTTAACACAGGACTGACTGTTCGTGTCCCAAAGTCGGGACTGTCCCAGTCCCATGCTAATTTTAGCGCAGCCCCGCACTAATTTTAGCACATGCCCACGCTATG